TAAAACGTTACATAATAATCAATAAAAAATAGTAACCAATATATATATATATATATATATATTACAAATATTAGTCGATTGTGATAAAGTTCATTATTTTCTATAATGTAATGATAAAACTTGAAAATTAATATATTTTAGATTCATTGCAAACCAACATAAATATTGCAGATCTTTTATTGTCTTAATACGGATGATTTTGGCATACAGCTCCTGAAAACCCAAAATTCCTATCTCACAAAATTTGCATATTTCATCCGACCAATAAAAGAAAAGTGTTCTTAATCCCAAAAAATTCAACCTTCAAATAATTATGTACAGTTATGCACATGCACTGTGTTGGGTCTTGTGTCTCTAAACTTTCTCTTCATAATATCCCACAGATTCTCCACGGGGTTCAGGTCAGCAGAGTTGGCAGGCAAATTGAGCACAGTGACACCATGGTCAGTAAACCATTTACCAGTGGCTTTGGCACTGTGAGCAGGTGCCAGGTCGTGCTGAAAAATTAAATCTTCATCTCCATAAAGCTTTTCAGCAGATGGAAGCATGAAGTGCTTCAAAATATCCTGATAGGTAGCTGCATTGAACCTACCCTTGATAAAACACAGTGGACCAACACCAGCAGCTGACACGGCACCCCAGACCATCACTGACTGTGGGTACTTGACACTGGACTTCTGGCATTTTGGCATTTCCTTCTCCCTGGTCTTCCTCCAGACTCTGGCACCTTGATTTCCAAATGACATGCAAAACTGAGCAACAGTCCAGTGCTGCTTTTCTGTAGCCCAGGTCAGGCGCCTCTGCCACTGTTTCTGGATCAAAAGTGGCCTGACCTGGGGAATTCGGCACCTGTAACCCATTTCCTGCACACATCTGTGCACAGTGGCTCTGGATGTTTCTACTCCAGACTCAGTCCACTGCTTCCGCAGCTCCCCCAAGGTCTGGAATTGGCCCTTCTCCACAATCTTCCTCAGGGTCCGGTCACTTCTTCTTGTTGTGCAGCGTTTTCTGCCACACTTTTTCCTTCCCACAGATTTCCCACTGAGGTGCCTTGATACAGCACTCTGGTAACAGCCTATTCATTCAGAAATATCTTTCTGTGTCATACCCTCTTGCTTGAGGGTGTCAATGATGGCCTTCTGGACAGCAGTCAGGTCAACAGTCTTACCCATGATTAGTGTTTTGAGTGATGAACCAGGCTGGGAGTTTTAAAGGCCTCAGGAATCTTTTGCAGGTGTTTAGAGTTAATTTGTTGATTCAGATGATTAGGTGCATAGCGCGTTCAGAGGCCTTTTTCATGATATACTAATTGTGTGAGATAGGAATTTTGTGTTTTAATGAGCTACATGCCAACACCATCCGTATTAAGACAATAAAAATGATATATTTAAGTTAGTGTGCAATGTATCTAAAATATATGAATGTTCAACTTCTATCATTACATTATGGAAAATAATTAACTTTATCACAATATGCTAATATTTTGAGAAGGACCTGTATTTTCACATTTGATTGTGTTTGTCACATATTTGTTTTCCTCTTTTTCATAAAAAAAATAACAAATGAAGATACAATACATGAAATAAAATAATATATATGGTGACTTTTACCTACATATTGCAGTGCGCACTGGTGCAGTTTTCGAAACCACCACTTGGAGGTGTATTGAGTCAATTTCAAAACTGCGGCATTTAAAATATGGTCAAATAATCTGTATAAATGTGACGTGAAGGTGAGAATTGAGCTGAACATTCGTCGCCTTGACTGCTGTTGATACATTAAACCCATTTATAATAATATACGGGCCCTGTGATATTTAACATCCAATCAGCTTCCTGACCGATCGGTGCGTTTGATTCTTTACACGGTACGTGCCTGTCTCCATCTTTTACCTGCTCTCCTCTCTGATCACAGAGCAGCGTTTAGAAACTGGCGCACAGTCGGTTAAAATCTTCCGCTCAGTCCGTGACAGCAGCTGGAGCGCAGGTTGTTAGCTAGAAAACGCGATTCCCCTTTACATCATGGCTGATATTTGTGTTAAATAAACAAAATAATTGTATTAGCTTTATGGAATCTACTGATCCCTCCTTCATGATACAGTAGCTTTACAGCGTGGAGGAAAACAATCATTTCTTTTGAGAAGCTGCAGATCATATTACACAGGAATAAATGGTGAGTAACATCTGGTTATATCACAGTAACAGTCTTTTCTAGTTTGTTTTTTAGATGTTCTTTTTATACACAAGTGTGTCATTTATTAACAATGTTATTTTTTTTTTATGACATGCAAATAGGCAACCAGTGCTAAGAGACCATCCCTGCAGGGTCCAGTGCCCCCTCCTCGCAAGAAGACAACTCCCAAGCCAGAGCTGACAGAGGAGCAGAAGCAGGAGATCAGGGAGGCTTTTGAGCTCTTTGACACTGATGGATCTGGACACATCGATGTGAAAGAGCTCAAGGTAACATGAAGATTTGCACTGATCGATGTGAGAATGTAAGATAAAATGTTTTCTGGAATCCCCTGAATGAATGTTTCTGATTCTGAGCAGGTTGCTATGAGAGCTCTGGGATTCGAACCCAAGAAGGAGGAGATCAAGAAGATGATCGCAGAGGTGGACAAGGATGGAACAGGGAAGATCTCCTTCGCTGACTTTCTGGCAGTCATGACACAGAAAATGGTATACATGGACTGTCTTTTACTGTAGAGCGTATGCACCTTGAAGTTTCTTCACGTTACAACCTCATATGTAGAAAAGCTTCTTACCAGATGGCCATAGGAGAAAAGAATGAAGCAAAAATCATGGCAATTGTTCATCGTTTGAATCAAATAGCCTCCTGCAGCTCTGGAGACCCCAGATATAGCACATAAAAAGTAGGGCAACACTGATTTATCGGTGCATAAATGTATAGTGGAGGATTTTCTCTAATTTTTTAAAAGACCTGCACTCTACACTTTAAAAAAAAGCACATGTACAACCCTGTACCCACTGCTGAGAGGGAACTCTTATTAAAGGTGTGATAGAGAACGCATGAGCCCTTTTCTCTCCTCATGCATGATCTGTTTAAAAGTAGCTTTTTGCATCACTCATACAAGCTTACTTTCCAAAAGAAGAATTGCAATTTTTCCACTATGTCAGACTCTCACCTGGTAAGTGAAAAT